TTCTTTGGAGGAACTGAAGCAGATCAAAGCTAACATATCTAACAGAGAGGTTTTATTTCAGGGCATGGAGAGAAGTAGCCCAGGAACCCATTCTGCCTGGTATCAGATGCGTGGGGATTTGGCACAGGCTGGTTTGCACATGTGTGTGTGTGAGACAGAGAGCACTGGAAAAGCCAGAGATTATACACTGGGAGAATCTCTCTGTGGCTGGACCCAGCGAAGGGCATCAACTTGGTACCCTTTTAATGCTGCATGCAAACAAAATCAAGTCTTGGTTTTCACTATCTCCCTGCAAAGAGCTCAGTGATTTAACAAGTCTTACTTGCCATTACAGTTTAAGTGAATGCACTTTCATTTCAAAGATTCATTATATATATATATGCAGACATCTATACATCTTAAGACTTGAATGAACATACATCTCTCACACATGCATCAAGCTGCAGGCCATATTAGTAAGGTGACAGTCATGTGTATGTATTTATTTATAGCTTCATGAGTAAGCCAGCAGAGTACTGCACCGCAAAGCAGCTCCTATTGTGTGCAGCATACCTCCTTGTGTTCAAAGGCTCCTGAAGCTTTAGGAACGGAATGTTTCTATAGAGATATATATTTTGTCATTTGTATTAGCTGAGGATCTGTCCTGCAGAGTTTATTATCCTTTTGTATAAATTTCTCCCTTTTCTTCTTTTTCCCTTTTATGATCTGCCTATTTCTTTTTATGCTCCCAATTAAAATACCAAATACAGAGTCCAGCATAAGTGTTGGACCACTGCACTGATATACAGACAGTAATTGTTCAGCAACTCTATTGCTTTCTGCTTTAAAGTATGAATTGATCATAAATTCGGGATGAGAAGAATGTAACCCTAACAGAGGCAAAGCTGGTTTGAATTAAACAGTAACAATATTTTAAAAGGCTTTAGCCAGCATGTAGCATGTTCTCCCTATGTTCTGCTGTGAATTTATTCTCATCCCATTCTGAAAATATGTGTATTTATTGATTAAATCTATGATTAACCTCCATAAAACAGGGAATTCAAGGTTTCATGGGTCTTCATTTCCTTAGTTTACTTTATCTTCTTCACACCTTGTCTTTCCTAGGTTAAGTTCAATCCACCCGTATAAACACCTGAGCAAGAACCTTAGTTGTTTGCAGGTTTCAGTGTAATTTCAACTCTAAGTGTGAAAGAATAAAAAAATTCCTAATTGCAGCTGTCAATAACAGTGCTGCAGGTATTGTTCACATCATTTGCAGCTTCTGTCCCTGGGAAGCACATTTGACTCACTCCATACAAAACCCAGAACTTGCTATTTCAAGACAACCAGTGTTTTAGTGCTTAGACATCTACTCAGCCTTGACTTGATAGTCTAAAATAAATATCCTTGAGCAGTTGTACAAAAACACCTATGCAGCAAGCAAGTAAAAAACCCTGCTGTTTATAGTTTGCAGATGCTTGGGAGAAAACACTCTATATAATATACCTCTAAACTGCTCTGACAATGGCTAAACTGCCTCACAGAATCATAGAATCATGGAATCATTAAGGTTGGAAGAGAGCTCTAAGATGCCTGAGTCCAAAGACTAATCCAGCACCATCATGTTCACCACTAAATTATGTCCCCAAGTGCCACATCCACGTGTCTTTTGAACACTTACAGGGATGGTGATTCCACCACTTCCCTGGGCAGCCTATTCCAGTGCCTGACCACCCTTTCAGTGAAGAAGTTTTTCCTAATATTCAGTCCAAACTGCCCCTAGCCCAACTTGAGGTCATTTCCTGTTATCACGTTACTTGATGATACTCAAATATTTCTGCTGAAAGTATTTTGTTAAATCTTAAGAAGGAACCCTTCTGAGAATAAGTTTTTTGCTTCCATTACTATGTCAAAGCAAGACCTCTAATAACTAAATGAAATCTTAGTGAATACTGATGATGGATTACAAAGCTTGACACTACATTTTAAAACTGGTATAAATCTTCAAGGAGCAAACTGCCTTTTGTTACTACTGAGTCACTCCCTCCCCTCTTCCCCAGAGGCAATTAACAGTTTGTACTTTGACACAGACATTTCCCATCTGAACTTTCGGCCTCTGGTTTCTAATGGATTGACTCCAATTCTCTTAGGCATTTTGGTGTCTATTAAAAAAACCCCAAAAATTCTTCTATCCAGGCAAAAATAGAACAAAAGCAAACCAGCTAATAACCACAGACTCCTCTGCAAACATTCAGAACATGCCAGCTGCAGAATGCTTGCAAATCTGCAAAAAGCAATGTACAAACCAAGCTGTAACTATCCTCTCATGAGATTCTGGCCTGTAAGTGAAAAAGTAGATGCAGCAGCAAGAAGAGTAATGAAACCCTGTGGATTCTGATTCCTGCTCTGTTTCCACATGGTAAGTACAAAACGAAATCACTCACTGTAAGAGGCTTCCAGCCTTCCCCTTTGCAATAACTTTGCTAAGGCAGATGCTAATCCAACCAGGATGAAAACCCTGTCTCATGTACCACACTGCAGAGCTCTTGTTTACTGTGGAGTGTAAGCTCTCACTGGTGGGAAACCAATCATAAAGAAACCCATCACAGCAGCACGTGCCAGTGATCAACCCTCAAACACTAAAAAATAATAATAACAACAATTAAAAAATCACCAATGTCAAACAGATAATGGTTAATGAGGATCATATTTTTACCTTTATCCTGAGTTTTCCTACTAAGTGAGAGAGTTGGCTGCCACATGCCAGTGTCCCTACTTCAGAAACAGCTGTAGTGAAATAGAAACACAACAAGTGCTTGAGGCTTATCAGGCTTCTGTTCTCGGTCCAAAGTATTCACCAGTATGTTATTCAACATTTTAAAGGCACTAGGGAAGGACTCTAACGTAACTTAGGAGAGCTATCAAGGCCATGTAAGGGAAGGTGAGGAGCTCTAAGTGTACTGAAGAAACCGCTCTTCTTTACATCAAACAGAACCAGACTGATTCAACACTTCCAAAGTGATCTCTTAAGTGAAAAAAGTACCTTGCAGGAGCTGTACGTAGCAAGAAGTCTCTGCTTTTGCCCTGTAGAAGGTTCTTAGACACTGTGGCCTTCTATGCTCAATTTGCTATATTGATTTTTAAACCCTTTTCAGTCATTGAGGCCTTTTCAGGAAATATAAAGCAAGCTTTTTCTGTCACCAAGAGTGCACCTGCAATGTCATCTGGAGCAGTAAAACTTATTTTAGTAACCTGAATTACCCCACTGGGCACTCAACGGAGAGATGCAGAGGAAAACACTTTTCTAGAGTTCCACTTTGATCCTAAAGGAAAAATCCAATATTTATCTGTCACTTAGCTGTTCAGGTAATGTATCTGGCTTTACTAATTCTAAGTTTTGGTATATTCAAAGCAACTCTAGGCAGTTTTCAAATTTTTAAGCCATGCTGAAATCAGTCCTAGGGCTACACTGATTGAATGGAATCAGAATTGCTTCCTGAGGAACCAAAAGCTGGTTTATTTTGTGAGAGAGAAAGTTAGAAGACAGCCAAGTCCAGAGATTCTAACTCCAATATTGGCACAGTGCTGCCAGAAGAAAGGATTTGTTCCCTGTCTTCAGTCACACTAATGTCTGCCTGTTTCAGAGAATACATACTTGTGCTGAGGAACCCACAAATTAGTATCCTCAACAAACCCTTGAGAATTAACAAGGAGAGAACAAACCCCATTTTACTAACAGGTGCTTTTCAGTGATATTCTACTTTTTTGCAGAATTAATAAAAACAACGCTTTTGCTTAATCCCTAGAAGGCAGACCTTAACTGTGTAATCTAAAGACACAATCAAAGAAAAATTAAACAAAATTAGCAGTACATGCCTGGAGCACAGTTCACTCAGGATTTAGATGACCTACATCACAGATGGATTATTTTTCCCTCTAGTTGTGAGAATGATTTAAACTTTTACTGACCTTTTGTGGTTAATTCAGACATTTCTCTCAAGTTTTCTCCGCAGTCTGCTTACTCAGTGAACATAACAACTCCTCCTTCTGTAGAAAACAAAACTTCTGCCCTAGGAAAACTGTGGCATAGTAACCAAGGACATATCACAGTGTGTAAAATTGAGACGGGGTATATTTTTCCAACTAGTGACATATCATTCTTCATTGTATCCTTGTTCCAAACTTGCCACTCAACATAAATTAAAGGTTTTACTCAGGACTATCCTTTTGTTTTTGTTTTAGGTCATAACAATGTAAGACAGCTGTGGGTGTAGGGAAGAGGTGATATAATTTGTTTAAAAAAAAAATTAAAATGAAAACAGTTGCTTGCACCATTACATATTTGCCTTTGTGTAAACATGTTTGCTCGCCTGCGCTACTTACACAGCTGCCATACACTATTGCTCACACTACTTTATGAAAAACAAAGAGCAACTTTAAGATAGATAAACCCCATTCTTGAGTAACTCGGTACAGTATCTTCACATTGTTCTCCCTACATTGTACTCCCTACAGCTGATGGAGGAGGATTGCTCTCTGCAACGCCTTTCTGATTTCAAAAAGAAAACATTACGTTTCTTCTTGGCAAATGAGCACAAACCTTTGGAAAGCTCCTGCAGTACAAACACAAATGCTCATCATCAAGTTGTTTAGGGCAGACAAGTTATACTACACGTTCCGACAACGCTAAAGCGAGCTGTAAAGAGAGCTTAGACTTAATGCTTCAAATCAGTGTCACAGCACCAAGGAAGCTTGTTCAGTATTTAGTCTGCACTTCACATTATAATGTGCTATATTGTTCCTTAACAGAGATCTTAAAATGAGCATGATCAGAGAAATGGAGAGGAGCTTTAGGATGTACTTAAGTGAATGTTGAAGGAAGGGCTTTGCTTTGCAAGCATCCAGCATTAAATCTCCCAAGATACTCCCTATAAACCTGAACTTTGGCTTGCCAAGCAGCAGTTTGTTTTGTGAGCTGGCAACAAGGCTGCTGCTCAGAACCATCCCCTTTCCCTACTTACAGTTCGGTGGTGTTGGCAGGGATGTCCCGGGGAACATGGACCACCTTGCTTTCCTGACAAATGAAGACCCTTCCCATGCAGCGACAGGCGTGGTGTTGGCATCCCAGGCAGCCCACCAGGAAAAACAGCAAGCAGGCAAGGACTGAAGACATCTCTGCCTTCACATCTGTGTCCGTCTCCTTCATATCAAAGGGAGGAACACAGAGACCTCCCAGACCAACTCCCTGGATAGAAGATCCGCCTCAAAAGCTGGGACAAACCATGTGGCTCTTGGGGGATGACTCCTCAGCAAGTTTCACTTCACGACCCCAGATTCCTTATGGCCTTAAGAGTAGGAATAGAGATGAGCAATGCTGATCTTCCATGACACAAGTATTTTATATTTAGAGTGGTGTTGAAATCATGGGGCCCAGCTGTACTAACCTGGGTTCTTTTAATGCAGTGGATATCTGCCTCGGGAAAAGGTCCGTCCTCCTCAGCTGCATGTATTTTTTCGTAACACCAAAAGGGACAACAAGACATTTTTATTTTATACAGTCCAGACCCTTTTGTGCCTGAAGGAGAAACACCCTAGTTATGCTCCCCTTCACAGACCCAAGAGCCCCTGCTTTTGTATTTCTCTTAGGCAAAAGAAATGTGTTATTTTTTTATATGGCATATAATCTATTTGATAGGTTAAAAGCTCTACAATCCTCAAACCAGAGCTAAATAGCATGCCTTTTTTTCAGCTGTGATTATTCTTCATGCACTTGCTGATTCATCTTCTTTTTCCTTTGGCATCTTTATAGGAACACAAACAGAAGAAAATGTCACATTCCCAACAGTCCCTGTGGACTGGCAAACTAATTTCATCATCTGGAAAAGAAATCCCAGAAATATGCCAAATGACTATTTGTAACACAACAGGAGCAAAACAGCTTCGAGGCCTGGATGTTGAATTCTAAAGACTCCTTGAGTTCTTATTTTCTTTGTTTTCTATTTGACTGAGCTAAAAGATATTGTTACAAATATTAATCCTTGAGGAAGGGACCTTGTGAACTCTTTGCTGTCACTGAGTCACGCTGCACCAGACTATTGTCTGGAACCAGGGTTTCTCTACAAGATGCCTGAAGTGAGCATTTTGAGATAATGGTGGGGGGTTTTTTGTTTGGTTTGATGGTTTTGTTTGTTTGTTTTTCTTTTAAACTGTAAATAGCTGTTTCAGATACACAGCCCCGTATAAACCATGTGCATTTTAAGTAAGTGAGGGAGCCACAGGTGATTCTGCTGAACTTGACTTACATTTAATTCTTCATGTTGCCTGGAAGGATTTCTTAATCTTGTTAAAATCTGTTGTTAGCTTGGTGGTGTTGTGTTTTTTTTTTTTTTTGTAATGTCTGGTTTTGTTTTCTTCTTCCATAATCAAAAAGCATAAACATATGTAATGAGACAGAAGATATCATCTTTTCTCTGAAGTGTGCTGACCAAAAGATTCCATCCTTCTCACCTTTAAAATAAGCCTCATAATGTAGATGTTTCTGAAGGGAGCTAATTAAGATTTAAAAAATAATTAAAGTAATTCTTTAGGTTACCTTAAAAGCTATCTCAATTTTACCAAATATCAACCAAATATTTGTTATTTCCCCCCCCCTCCAGTCATTTAAGCTTACTTAAGATGAGAAGAGCAATGTTCAAACAAAAAAAAAGGGTAAGAAAAAATCATGACAATCTCTTTCTAACAATGGTAAGCTTATAATGAATTGTAATAGTATTCCTTTAATTGCCTGTGTAAAACACAGCCCATTTTGCTCATGACAGTGACTGCCAGAAAAAGAAAAATTTCTAAAACATTAGTGACTTTTTTCCTCATATCTCTCTATGCCCTTTCCTTTGAAAGATTTTATACCTACATGATCTTCTGAAATATGTAAATCTTCAGTTGCCTTCATACTCAAATGGATATAAAATACAGAATTGCACCCTATGATCAAACAAATTCCCATTTAGTAAAATTTTGCTGTAGCCCATTGCAAGGATTTAAGTCCATTACTTCAGGATTTAAACAAATGCCAGGAAAACAACTCATTTGAGGCTTTTGGGGTTTTGTCTTTTCATTAGAAGTCTCTAGCTTCTACAGTTGTTGTCTAAAAGCAGGCTGGAAAATCCCCCCCAAAATAAAAAAGGTAAAGCTTGAAGAACATACATAGCACAAGAATATTTAGTTACAGAGGAATTAAAGTCATATCTCTTCATCCTGAAGTATATCAATATAAACGGTCATGTTATACTGATGAAATGGAGAGTAATATTTATCACATAATTTAAAAAGTGGTAACATTCTCAGAAAAATAATTTTCACTGATATGAAGACATTGCAATTTGATTAACTTTGTGGTTTGTATATCAAACCACAAAATTTTTTTCAGATGATAAAAATTTTTTTTTCATTTTTTCCACATGCAAAAGCGAGGAGATCAAAAATATCACTGTGGCTACAAGATCTTTGCAATTATTAGTGACTTCCAAAGCTATAATAAGTATACTGTAATTTAATACAACTAGTAAACATAGATTTTCTAAAACATCAGGTCAGGCTCAGTAGCAAATCATGAGCCTAATGAATAAAAATTGGATGGAGGTAGGCTCCTTCCCATATTTGTTTGGAGAGGCCATTTTATCAGTACAGTACATATCGCTTCACTTTCATTTACAACAGTTAAGAATGAGATGACAATTATTAAGTAATAAAAATCTCCCACTCAGACCAGAAGTTTCTCTTTTAGTACTGTGGAGATAAGAATTCGAAGGAAATATGTAGTTATCATTACATTCAATAAAACCAGACTAGTATGCTAAACTGAACTGACATTTCATTCATAGCAGAGCGAGCACTAATTCAAGACCACACTAAAACTATCTGAGGATAAATGAAGATTCAGAAGGATCTCTGAGTTGTTTAATATGTATGATCCAAGGTCTTATAGAATAGCCTCTGGTGTTTATTAGTGTTTTCACCTGGAAGCGTCTCTCCTAATTTCTCTACACTACTGTCAAATGGCACACAGCCACATCATTACAGTCTCCTGGATGGATTAATAGGATGATGATCCTCTCAGTACCAGTTCAGGAGCACAGTCATCTCCTCTCAGGAAGAACATCCATGTAAAAGAGGGGGAAAAAACCACCTCCTGGTCTCCTTCTGGGGAGGTTGCATTCACAAGTTCTTGAGCACCATGGTTGCAGCTACAACCATGCCTGAAAACCCAAACAACCTGTTGCAGATGATCCATGACGGTAACTTAAAGCTACTCCTAAGTATGTCCCACATCTTTGTGCCATCACAGGGTTTCATACTTCTTCCTCATTAGCTTCTCGAAAGCAATGAAGGTGGCAAACTCCCACCTACCCCACCTACACACACTGACAATTTCAGAGCATGGTGTGCCAGGAGCAAGGACCTATCTCATGGAGATGGCTGTGATGCACTGTCTTTGAGATTCTTACTGTTGAATGTGTAAATGCAGAGATGATGGTGTTTTCAGATATTTACAAGAGCCTTATCTTTGCATCCATTTGCAGAAGAACTATGCTCCAGCTGGCAAATTGGTCTTGAGAGTGCAAACTGTTTTCCTGAGTAAGAAAACAGAAATTTCCCCAAATTGAAGTACTGTAGCAACAGACATGCAATTAAGTGAATTATGACAGATATTCAATGATGACATTACAGACTATGTAATTAGATGGCATCTGGGACAGACAGTTAATTCAAGGTCATATAGTCACCAAGGGTTCTTTTTTTGTATGACAATAGTAATAGAGCCTGGTTGATAGGACTGGCCTCTAACATCAACAGTGGACTCTAAAATTAGCTTTGGTCTCATTCTGTGAGCACTAAGCCAGAGGAACAAAAGGGTTATATGGACCCCATCCTCTGCCCAAGCAGTAGTGCCTGTCCCAGGCCACGCTGTCACCCAGATTAGTGAGGTTACAGTGAAAATTAAAATGAGCCATCCCAGCTCTCTATCTCTTGCCCTCAATAAACTTGCTCCAAATACAACTCTAAGTCCTTCCACTACAGTGCAGATGTGGTCAGCTCAGCATCTAAATCCAGGTGTTGGAGGTGTGGGAAGAGCTCTTTTTCTTAAGGCAGGAAGCTCACCAGATGATGGAGTGCATCAACCTACAGGAAAGTAAGTTCACAGGAGCATCTACTTTTGTTTCTGTCTTTTGAAGCACAACATGACAGCTAATTAAGTAAATACTGTTTCTACTGATGTTTCCTAGCCTAGAATAGTGTTTAATTACCGAATACCACTTGAATGCTGGCTTTGTTTAACAATAAGCATTCTCTAAAAATGAGTAGGCAAATAAATCATTTGTATGAACAGATGACATAAGAAAACACATTAAAAAAAGTTTATCTGTCAGAGTGGAGATTTCTTGTTCTCTTGATGATTTCCATCACATAGTTTCTCCCTATAGCTTTACAGGCAGCAGTGGCATCTATTATCCTGACTACCATGGTATGAGCAGCAAAAGGTGTTTTCTATTCAGAAAAGCTTGCAGTGTGAGATGGAACAGATAGACACCTATGAGGAAATTAGAGGAAATTACTAAGACGGACTTCAACACATCATTGATTTACCTTTTATGAATGACCAACATGGGTTTTAAAACAGCAGATCACTGAGGCCAACAGACCATTTACCTGATAAAAATATAATGGTTTAGGCTCTTTCCAGAAATAGCCTTTCTGAACAGAATATTTTTAGCTTCCTCTTTTTCCACATGTGAGGATTATTTTTAAACACATTTGAATGGATAGGCTTTATCTGTGCCCTCAGTGTCGAGAATATAAAACAACAAAGTAGCCTAATAAAAGCAGTAGCTTCTTGTTCTCTTTTTTTTTAGCCATCTGCTCATATGCAACCTTAACTCCAAAAAAAGATTGAAACTGAGAAAGTAAATTTGCCACCAGAGGGAGTGCATTGACTTGGGAAGACAACGCACACTAGTGTAAGGAGAGGATTAGAAGTTTTATGGAATTATGCTCACACAGATTTCCTGTGACTGCCTGACTCTTGACTTCAAAACTTGGCTGTGATTTGTTGTCCTCTTATTAAATCACACCTCTGCAGAGTATGGAGCAGCAATAACCAAGTGTACTGTGTGTCTTGCTTCCCTCCCTTAGCCACCTCCCCCTCCT